CCCTGCAGCGCCCCCGCCGCAGCCTCCCGCCCGCGCCCCGCTCACGTCCGGCTCGGTTCTGTCCAGGGCCCGCGACCACGACGAGGCTGGACCCGCCATCCGGCCTCCCCGCCGGCCTGGGGGTCCCGGTCCCCTGCTCAACTTCCGGCTGTTGCGGGTCCAGAGCCGGGACCCCTGGACTTAAGTCGCCCCGGCGGCCGCGCACGGTCTCCGGCCACTCCCGGGAGAGCGCGCGCCAAGCGGGGGCACGCGTGTGAGCGTCGCGCGCGGGGGACACGCGGAGCGCGGGGTGGTCCTGCGAGGGGACGGGGCGAGGACGCGGGACCCTTCCCCGCCCCTTTATCCCGCGGGTGCGCACCCGCCCGCGCGCTTCGGTAACCTTTGGGGTTGAGAAAATGAGCCCCCGCCCACACACGCGCGCACCCACGTGTGCACACAGGCACGCGCGCACACGCACACGCGCCCCAGATCCCGCTGCCTCCCGCCTCCCGGTCCCTCCCGCGTCCGCGGAGACCACGCTCGGCCCCGCGCGGGCTCGGTCTGAGCGGCGCCGCCTGCTGGGGCGTCCAGCGGCTCCCCAGACCCTCGGCGCGCCTGGGGTCCCCTCCTCTGCTCCTCGCGCGCAGCCGGCGAGTCCAGCCCCAGGGAGAGCGGTCACCAGCCCGCCGCGAGGGACCCTCCAACCAGAGGGAAACCCGGACTGCGGGCGAGGAGCGGGGCTGCCAGGTCCCCGCGGAGCCAAGGACACATGGGCCGGCTCCGGAGGGCGCCCCCGGCCGGGCGGGTTGGGGATGCCGGGCCCGGCTGCGGAGAAGGTGCCCGCCGGGCTCCGCTTGGGGCGCAGGCAGCTGGGAAACCAGGGGCCGAAAAGGAAACTGCGAAGGGCTGGCTCCCACAGGCTGGGCGAAGGCGACTGCACTTTGTAAGTGGCTCCCGCTGCTGTGTAATTGCCCGGCTCTTCGGACCCCCGCGGTATAGCTCCGTCCTCCTGAGCCGCGCTTCCGAGGGAGGCACATCTGTGGATTCACAAGTCGCTGAAGAGTAAACAGTTTTCATGTAAGTGTGCCTAGCCTCCCGTGTCAGGGAGATCGGCAGGCGCCCCATGACTTCTGACTGAGCCATTGGCTCTGCTTGTCCTCCCCCTGCCTTGTTCCTCCCCAACAGGAGCGAGAAATAAAAGCCCCCAAGGCCCTGCACTGCTCCTCATCGCGTTGCTTCTTTCCTCTGGGCGCTGAACGTTGTCTTCCCTATTGCAAAGCCCACTGCAGTTCCTGGGCCGAGGACTCCGTGCTGCAAACAATCCGAACGGGAGGAAATGGAAGAAATCTCAGCAAAATGCACTGCAATTCAAAACGAGGAGAGAATTTTACGAAAGAGCAGGAGAGCCCCGGCCGGTGAGCCCCACGGCCTCCTCTACATGCTGCTGCGTGAGGCGGGCACGGCCCTCTTCAGACGTCCCTGGCCTCCGATGTCGCTGTCCTCCTGGTCCGCCCGGGAAGGTGCCAGAGAGACCTAGGAAACCCGAGCCGTTCTGCAGGCATCAGTGGAAGACCTCCTTTAATCCCTCGCGGCACCCTGTAGCCGTCAGTCAACCACCCAAATCCAGCAGGCAAACAACAGCCGATGGGGTCGATTTGTCCTGTTTGGTAAATCCACAGAAATGGAAGTGCACACTTCAAAGAGCACGGTCCACGAAAGTTTCCTGTGTTTATTTACTTTTTAAAAGTCATGTCGTTACTTAACCTCCAAATCACTAATTGCTTAGCTTAAATGACTTCCAGATGCTGCTTTGAGTTTCACAGGGAACATCAGGGAAGGCGGATCCCCTCGAAGGCCGTCGCTGGACTCCCTGCAGACGGACGCAGGCACATGGAGACAATCAGCTAGAGATTTACAGCGAGGAGTCGCCGCAGAGCGGAGAGCTGCCCTTCCTCGTGCGCCTCAGACTGTGGCAGGTGCTCAATTCCAAGCCGTGAGCCCTGCATCAGTGGAAGGTGGACCTTGCTAATTGTGTCAGGCACTCATTACGCGGGCCGTGTGTGACTGCGGTGTGTAGACGTGGTCGGGGAGGGCGCACCAGGCCTTTTTGAGCAGCTGTGGTCGTCCGCAAGCCCAGCTGCGCGCTCACTCCCGGAGACAGAACCCGGGAAGGAGGGGAAATGGAGACAGCCTTCTGCGCTGTCAGGCTCTTAACCGGACAGACGCCGTCTCCTTCAGTCCTTAGGACAACGCTCAGGGAAGGGTCCAGCATGGCCTCTGACTTGCTTCCATTCACTCGCGGACATCTGTCCGTCGCCAGACTCACGGTCTAGCAGTGGCTGCGGAGGGTGAAGGTCCTCAGCGCATGGGTCTTCACGCCAGGGGAGGAAAAAAACGAACCGTGCACGCGAACGCCTCCCAGGAGACGGTGCTGTGAGCTGTGAATGAAGCGGAAGCAGGTGAGGGGAGAGTGTGACTTGGGGTGCGGGTTTGGGGACTGTGGGTGCAGGGAGGGAAAGCAGATGGGTTCCTGGAGGAAAGGCTCCCCGGCCTGGAACCGAAAGCACCAAGGCCACGGGCTGGGCTCTCCTTGTCCTTCCAGGTGTGTCGCTTGCTGCCTGCAGAGGGCAGCAGAGGAACCTGCGGTCCAGGGAGGAGCCCACCGCTGTCGTCCTGGGGCGCTGGGGCTGAGAGGCCCCGGGCAGGAGGAATGGAGTCAAGCCACCCGGACCCGCTAACGATGCTGCTCAAGGTGGCGCACGCAGCACCTGCTGCTGGATAGGTGTGGAGCCTGGGGAGGAAGAGGTGACTGGGAGCTGGCACTGGGGCGCCCTCTGCACAGGTGGGCCGGGCTGGGGTTGTAAGCACCCTCGGCACGGAGGAGGACACGGAGGCTGCGAGAGAAGTTACGTCGCCACTTGTTAGCTTGTGGCAGGGAAGCTTCCTAGAATCACCCCAGAAGCAGCGCGCGGCCCGGCCTGAGTTAGAGCCGGGCTGGGTGGGCATGAGCCCAGCCCCGCACACGGTCTCTCCTCTCGGCGGGGCCCAGGGGCTCAGGCTGGCTGGGCCGGGGTCTCGAGGAGCGTGCATACGGGTCCTCCCTCCTTCTGTGCCAGGTGATAAACGTTCAGTTTTGCTCCGGCCGACAAGAACGCCGCTATCTCGGGAGCGTGCTTCTGAGACCACACACTCGTTTGCTCGCTGATTTCCCGTGCCGTGTGAGCTCCGTGGGAGACGATGTCAGACCTGCCCGGCTCTGTGTCCCCACCTGTTCCGCGCTATGTGCACAAAGATAAACCCCCATCCAGTGAAGAAAAGCCAGGAATCCATAGTTCATTGGCCCCTTCTGACTAAGGAGGAACTTGAGACCCACGCATTTTGTCTTCAGCTCCCTTATTTAGTGATGGTAATGATGACAATAACGATTAGCATTTATTAGGCACTTGTTAATTGCCAAATGATTCTGTTAGCCACACTAGGAATACGTATTCTTGTTATCTCCAGTTTACAGGCAGGAAGATGGACGCCCAAGGGGTGAAATGGCTTCTTCAAGGTCATCCGGCTGGGAAGGGGTGGGACTGCGCTGGAGTCAGGGCAGTCCAGCTCAAAGCCTGTGTTCGGAGCCATTGTCGGGCGAGTGTGGGTCCAGGTGTGTGGCAGGTGTGATCAGGTGTGTGTGCTGTCCACACCTGGTGTCTGAGTAACCTTCATCAGATCTCACTTGCTAGGTCACCCTGGTGCCTGGTGGCATTTGCTAGACTCTTCTATGTGGAGAAAACCCTGAAGAATGGATATTCCATAGCTCCCACTGAGCTTGGCAGACAAGCAGAGCCCCCAGGCCCTGTGCTGCTCCAGTTCCTCTGCTTCTGCTCAACCTCTGAGGTGTTTAATGGCTCCAGAGGAAACAGGCCAGCTTCTCTGGGCAAGGAGCCTGGCGCAGGGACCATGACCTGTGAGAACAACTGTAAGACTAATACTCAAATGTCCACGCCTGACCCTCGTCTCATTTCCTGAGTGGTGCCTGCCCTAGTCCTCATCTTTGTGGGTAGGACCCAGAGTAGATTTCACCGTTCTGCTATGGTTCAGGTCAGAAAATGATGCCACACTACAGGACCTGGGTTAATAAAGCTTCAGATTAGATTGATAATGAAGGTATCTCATTGACTTCTTTGAACTGTATTTGCTACACCATCATCACCACCACCATCACAGCCATCATTATTATCATCACCATGACCACCATGACCACCACATCATCATCATCACCACCACCACTACCATTATTACCATCATCACCATCACCGCCATCACTATCATTAGCATCACCATGACCACCATGACCACCACCATCACCACCACCACCATCACCACCATCTCTCACATTCACAGGTTCCTTACACTGTGCCTAGTACTGTTTTAAGTAATTTGAAAGCATTAACCAATTTTTTCCTCACAATAATCCTACAGCATTATTTTTCTTCCCCAGCTCATTTGCAGACAATGCAAGATGCAGAATTTAGGCAAATTGTCTAAAGTCGCAGGGGTGGAAATTGGCAGAG